TTTTTTTCCATATTAAAGCCCACCTTTAAAGGGAAACCTGGATGTTTAATGAAAAAGGTCTGGAGGAAGTGTTAAGTTTCATTCATGGTGGCTTCGCCTTGTTTGGAGGCAAGAGGCAAAGAGAAACCCCTAACAGGACCCCTAACTGCTGTACCGACAGAATTGGTGCTGTGGAAATGGAAGAACAGCTGAAATTAGAAAAATAAAGGCCCATATTGAATATAAGCTGACCGATATTTGAGAATTTAACAATCAATTAATCAAATAATAGCTTGAGTGAGTCATCAATTATCAAGTCCAACCATCCATACAATTTTTTCAATAACTGCGTCCGAAAACTGTTTAATTCTAAAAAAATAATTCTAAAAATTGAAAATTTTGCTATCGCTACATAGCTAGCGTTAGCATCACCAGCTGTTTACTTACCATTCTTGGCAAAAGTTTCAGTCATCATTACATTTACAGGACAAAAGGTTATAATACGCCCTGAGAGCAGCGCTTCCTTATCAGGGCAGACTGGATGCCACAGTGACTCGGTATCGGAAAGTGAAGAGACAGTCTTACTGAGGCGGGGCTAGCTGGTTAGCATGCTAACTTCGGTACAAAAAGATAAATGATAGAAATAGAAGCAAAACAAGAGGGTTGCTTTCTACAACTGGAGACAGCTCGTGACGAGTAAAAGAATTAAGTTTGATGCTTAACTTGAGACGTTTCTTTTAGACTGCTAAGTAAAGAGCTGTTAATGCTAACGTTTGCTATGTAGCAATAGCAAAGCCTACAAATAGCGCCTAAAAAATAACTCAGTCAGTTACATCAAAAACAGAATCAGAATTCATTTGTTCTTTATCTATCTAATCAGTTTTATCTGATCACATGTTTTGTGTGGCTGTGATCTGAGGGGCCGATAGTAGCACAAGAGAAACGGCTAAAATCTCTTCAACATCTTCGCTGCTTGTGATTTAAATCTAAATAAAACTGAACATCTGATCGTCAGCTGATGACACAGTCGGTGAATGTTTAAATCCATTTTTATTTGACAGTTTCAGCTCTCAGTCCTGGATGTTTATTTGAAGAGACTAACTCCTTTACATGAAGAAATAAAAGCAATGCTACAGACACAAAGAGAAATCACCTTGTCTTCTTCTCACCTGAGCAGTGACAGAACATGCCGCTGTTCATTAGCATCTTCCTAAAATAGTAATTTATTTTTAGGCTCATATGTGTCTCTTTGTGAAGCTCTTTGTAACCCAGGTCCTGTTTAAATAAAGTTTACATCTAGTTGTTTTTCTCTTGCTCAGAGCCTGCGCGTCTCCTCAACATGAAATACACTCTGATTTTGTAAAATGATGAGAAGGACGATCAATGACCTCCAGAGAGGCAGCCGACGGATTCATCAATACACATTAACCAGCAGGACACACAGCTACAGCTGAGCCATGTTGTGTGTTTTCGGGTGTGTGTGTGTGTTTGTTTGTGTGTGTCTGTGTGTGTTTGTGGTCAGTCTGAACTTCTGACAATGACAGTCATCTCTACGTGCAAACACAGGCGGATTTTACAGACTTAAAGTAAAAGCAACTGAAGAAGAAACATCTCATTATCACAGCCAGAGCAGTGAGCTGATGAAACAAAGTTAAATACAACTACGTGTGGTCTCTAACTGCTAACATAATGCCTCTGTTACTTAGCTGATCAGGTTAGCTAACTGTCAACTGGCTATCAGGCAGCACAGCAGGTTTTATGTTATGCGTGAGAAACATGGGCTATATCGGTTACAGTTCAGCGCTGACACAAAACAAACCAGATTAATGTGAGAAATCAGACTAAGGTGAGAAATAGATAACCTCTGTGTGAAACTCAGGTTTCCTGCAGGTTTTCCGTCTGTCACAGAGACACAGTGCTGATCTGCACTGGCTCTTTATCGTGGAAACACTGGAACACTTCCAGTTATAATCCTTAAGTTTCTCATTATTTCAGTCCAGACTTTTGACACTGTTCATGGTCAACATTTTTTCAGCAAGAGCCTTTCAATGAATTCATATTCTGTGATTAAAAGTCTATAAACTTGTTTTGTTAGTGGCAGATCCCGCCATTACTCTGAGTGATTCAGCCTACCTCTATGTGGACAAGACACTCGCAGGAAACAGAGCGTGTTAAGGTTCTGCTAATGCAACGCCAACACGTCCTGCTGCTGATGCCTCAGATGAAAAGTGTCAGACTGGTAAACAATGGGGTGGATTTTATTGTAAAGCAACCACAGGAATTGCTACGTGTTTATTACCAAGGACACTAAGGGTGCGGTGGGGGGTTTGGGCCTAGTCTCAGGACAACACATGCACGTAGAACGCTCTCAGCGACATGATGGATTTTTTTGACAGAGGCGGTGGCTGACCCGGGATTCGTCCCGGTATGCCTGATGGCCGTTCCGACTCTGGCTGTTCTTGCTCTGACAGCGTTACTGAAGCCAGGCTGCTCACCAGCTGCGCTTTGTCGACCCGAGGCTGGCGGGGTCCACGTAGCATTTTAACCAACAGATGTTGCTGGCGAGCTTTCCAACCATTACATCTAGGTTTTCTTGGTTGCCTCTTCAAGTTACTCAATGTATAGATCCAGCGGGGGTCGACTTACGCCTGGCGGGCTGTCGGGCTTGGAATACACTGGCGTAACCCCTGTATTTTGGTGATTTTAAATGAAAAGCTGCAGATGAAGCTCTACTGTGGTTTGTAAGAACCAACGCTCCTTCAAATCGTAATCAAAGTAAACAACTCCTTTTACTGTGCTCAGCATGAAATCATCACTTCACTAACTGCTCAAGGTGTGTCTGCTGCCCCCAGTGGTTGATGAACATGTGATTTCCAACACAACTGTGTTGTAGCAGTAGAACACACTTGCCATTTTGTCCCCAGTTTTCAACCATATCTCACAGTCAGCTGTTGACATACGAGCTCAGCAGCTGTAACTTTTCTAATACTGCTATGATGGAGTCACTTTCTGAGATTCATCTCCTTGAAATTGAACAAACTATCCACTGTGTAATACAGCTGAAAACTGAAAGAAACCTGGTGACTGAACCTTGGCATGGGATTATTAGGTGAAATAAGAACTATAATATCAGATGAAATAAATACCTGTGAAAAGCTAAAATGGCCCAATAATATTAACCTGCCGATGCATCAATTTAGCTTTAATTTCAGAACATCTATTGATAATTTCCCACAACCCCAAATTCTGAATCCTAAATGCTTGTTTTGACGAATTAACAGACTAAAACCCAAAGTTATTAAGTCCATTATCATAAGATCAAGGGAAGCAGCAAATCGTTTCGATTTCCTGAAATCAGCACATTTTTGACTGAAGCAATTATCAAAATAGTTGCCAATTAATTTTATTGCCATCGACCAATTGATTAATCAACTAATGCTTTGCAGCTCTAAATGTAGATAATGTAGGCTATTTATCAAATGTGACTACAACCTTAGCACTTAGAATAATGTGTGAAGTCGTAATATTGGGTGTTTCCCTCTTCTTCCCAATCTCCTGACAGTGCATGAATGCAGCATGAAAGTCAGAATATCTCCAAATGTATTGGTAAGCCGCTTTATGGAAGTGACAGACCGAATCACCGGAGTTCTCTTAAATGTGAGTAAGCACAGATAATGACGCTGGTGTCAGACATAACATTACATTACTGATAATAAAAGACGGACGGCAAACAGTATCCGGACCGCAAGTGGATTGACACTAGTCCACCCTAGTTAACTATAACAGTCAATCATTTTGTGTGTTTGCCCTCAATCTTGCATTTAGTTTTCCCCCAATTTTTTTCTCCCCCTCCCCCTCTCTCTCTGCAGTGAAAATATAATTACACTTTCTTCATTAAAGTGAGTAATTTCTTGCGTGGAGGACGCGACTACAGCTGTCCTCTGATTACTAAATGGAACACAGCAATGATCTATGGAGCCATTAGGGGAACGGGCTGGAACTAATTTCAATCCTGGAATGGACTGATGGCTGCAAACACACACACACACACACACACACACACACACACACACACACACACACACACGGATCAAAAGATGAAACAGGGATAGAGAAATAACAAACAGCAGCTTGTCGGCCATTTTCTGGCCTCATATGAAGCTCTGACTGAAATCCAAACTGATCACCTTTCACCACAAAATAATAAGTGTGTCAACCAGAAATGTTGCCTGTTTGTATCAATTATTACCATTTCATGACTCACACACTGACACCTCTTCATCTGTGTGTGTGTGTGTGTGTATGTGTGTGTGTGTGTGTTAGGGCCTATTCTGATTCTGTTCTGATTTGCCACTGAGTGATTCCTTTTGGTTATCTGTACAGATATGTTTTAAGACCCACACTAAACCTTAACATCATTCATTCTTTCATTCATTTGTTTTGTGAAAACAGAAGATTAGCAAAGAGTCACAGGAATAAAAAGTGCTGCGCTGTTGTGTTGTATCATTCAGTAATAAACTGCTACACAACACAATGTCAAGTGTCTCAGCTGTCAGCTGAAGTGTTGACCACATTGACTGACAGGTTTGCAGTTCAGTCATTTTGAGACTTGATTTGTAAAGGTTTCGAGGCGTCCAAGCTGTGCACAATGATACAGCAAAAAAAAACTTGGGGGGGGGGGCAAGGCAAGACAAGGTCACATGGATCACAAAATGATACCGTGGAGCAAATTGTCAAACAAATTCACAACCGATCAGATACTTTGAACCACTTTACACACAGTGAACCTGGGGACTCTGGGAGTCCATGTCGGTCTGGGGGGCCACAGGGCAGATGCCATCTTTTGGTAAATTACTGCAAATTACTTAAATGGATAAAATTCAAATTGGCAGCTTCCTGAATGATGACTTGAATCATCATATTAATATTGATTAATATCTTGATTAAATGATTCGTCATTTAGAATACAGATACAGAATGTTTGACTCTTATTAATGGTTTGTGTGTTGGACACGTCTTACCTTCTATAGGTGATGTTTTCAGGCGGCGGCAGAGGCCCTGCACGTCTCCGTACGTGTCCCGTATCTTGTTGACAGCCTCGGCGCTCCGCAGCTCCATCAGGCTCCTCAGATCCGTCACGGCTACCCCAAAGTCTCCGTCATGGTTGCCCTCGGCAACCGAATTCCCCGGAGGGTGGTCTGCCGTGTTGTTGGCCATATTGGTCCTCTTCACAGAAGTTTTGTGGTGGAGTTGTTGTAGCTGTTGTTCCTCTGAGTTTCTTTGTTAATCTAATCTAAATTGCGTCGTTGGTTCACAGGAATTGTGGGTCGTGTAGTTCTCACAGGATGCAGGCGGAGGAGACGGACACTGACGTTAGCTCCTGACCTGGGCGTGCGTGCACTTCTTGTTTATCATGGAAACGGGAGTAAACATGGTCCTCTGGTTTGTCACTAAGAAGGAAACAGAAACAGGAAAACAGATTTTTATGAACCAGATCCAGACAGGACACAGTCTGAACAAACAGCAGTCAAACGTCATCATCAGCAGACAGTTCAGTTCAGGACTCCCTTTGATTTTCACTAATGAAGAGCACAGAGACTAATTGAGCCAATTAAAGGAGAGTTTCTCATCTCAGATTATTAAAGGAGTCTACTGAATAACTAAGGCTGTTATGATGTAAACTGATTATTGGTTTGCGCTGCTCCTCTGAGACACATGATTAGCTGGTAAATATTGGTCCTCCCTGAACCGTCTGCTCCGAGTTTATGACCGAAGCTGAAACAACAATGTAATAATAATAATAATAATAATAATAATAATAATAATAACAACTGTATAATTTTGTTTTTCTCGTGTTTACGGATGAGTCACACTTCATCCTTCACATCCACCAACAGTGTATCGCTGGAAAATTCATCACTACATCAGTGACACTTAGATCAAAGGGCGAAAAGGAAAGAAAAAAACAGCAGTGACCATAATTAAAAAATGAAGGAAAAATAAAAGTATCTTCTTGAATTGTCATATGGGAATGAGAAATCCCTGAAAGAAACATTTACAGCCTCATGTACCCAAAAACTGAATCTGCCTGTCAGGTATCATCCCCTCTACAAGCACGCACATCTAGAGATCCTCACTCTTCGGTCCTCCTGGGCGTGTAGGTGCACAGTTATACAATAAAGGCTAAACACGGGAGTTGGCCTTTGAATTTATTACAGCAAGAACAACAGTAGCGGATAACAAATTCAATTATAGTGATTGCAAATCAGAAAAAGAGAAGATACCATGGTCAAGACTGAAGGTGCTGTAAAGATAATAACAAGGAAACTGGATTCATAGACACTTTGTCCTGCTGATGAAGAACCCGGGGTCAGCACTGAATACATGGTAGCTCTCCAGTGTGTGTGTGTGTGTGTGTGTGTGTGTGTGTGTGTGTGTGTGTGTGTGTGTGTGGTGCGGGAGAGGGAGTCAAGAGTGCGTGGCCAAAGTGTGGCATTCCAGCCCATCACCACAGATTATGTAAGTGCACATCAAAGGCTGTCCTCCATTTTTCACTGTTTAGTGTTCTGTCATGGACACACAGAGACAGAGACAGAGACACACACACACACACACACACACACACACACACACACACACACACACACACACACACACCACAGCCTATAAGAGAAGTACTGCTATTACCAGTGCTGCTGATACATTTGTGAATTTCTGAGCAGGGTTCTCCTGAGTGGTGGTTTGTTGAGGAGGTGACACGGGCAATTGCCTCGGTCAGTCGGTCTCAAATGGGGGTGGGGGTGGNGGGGGGGGGCACGGAGCCATTTTGAGAGCAAGTCACATTGACAGAATCTGAAGCTCTTCTCGGACATCGAATCAGTCACATTGCTGGCTTCATCACGCAGTTACAGTGATGGCTTTTTGTGGGGACTTTAACATAAACGTTCCTTAAAGCTTCATTCAGACATGACAGGACATTTATGAACCAAATGCTGTTTTGTGTAATATTTGGCAGCTGGTGCACAGAGGGAGCAATATCACCGTGGTGTCATTGATTTGATGTTTACTGATATGAAGTGAGGAAAGTGTTTGGTGTTTTCTCACAGGCTGCATCACTTCTACGCAGCTGTCCATGGGAATGGACAGATCTTTGATAGAGAAGAAAACTATTTTGATAATCAAATTAACATCATTTTTTAAAGCAAAAGTGTCAAATATTTGATGTTTGTAGGTTCTGAAATACCAGGAACTACGATACACACAAGGCTATAAATCAAGCCGACTATTATTTTGGTGAAGTAGATAGTAAAGTACTTACAATGCAATGTCCTTCACAGATAAACATTCATAAATCCACATTAAAGTCAGAAAAAAGACTTTAAAGCTTATGACTTAGTAGCTTCTGTCTCGTATTTATCATGTTTGATTTAGGATTAGTTTTGATTTAGACAGTTTTTTTAAAATTACTGTTGTTGTGTGTGAAACTCTGCTGTGCTGTGGAAATTCAAACAAAGTGAAAAATAAATAAAGAAGATAGATAGAAATATAATCCGTCTGTTAACCTCAAAGTTTCTTCAGTTCTCTTAATTTTCTGTTTCAAACTGTTTTTTTTGGGGGGTTTTTTCCTCCTCATATCATGTTTCATAGAGTTCCCTGTCAATACGTGTGTGTGTTATCTTAAACAGATCAGGACAGATGCCCTCTCTCTGTGTTCAGTAATCATCCCTCTGTTCCCAGACCAGAAGTCGAGTCATTATTACAATAAGACAACAGAGAAATTAAATGAAATTAAATGCCTACAGACCTCGTCACATTAATGTTTTGTAATGTTTTATTACACAAATAGTTGGTGATGTCATTGTGATGGAACGTGTTAATTACAGATAACGAGATTACTTAATTGTGCAGGTTCTAAGAAGAGGAAATTGGCAACTATTTCATTAGAACAGACCAAATAACACAAGTCTATAAACATAAGTCTACATGAATTATTCAGATTAAAGTAACAATCAGTTAGTGTGTTCTGATTGTTGGTGAAAATAATGATAGTACTGTTAAAATAAATAAATGAATAAAGTTTCCAGAGAACTATTAACAGCTAAAATAGCAGTTTCCTGGCTTTGCGTCAAACTTTTTTTTTTTGTTTTTTTTTTTGATTAAAATTCTTTTCACTCTTCACTTTTTTTTTTCCACTTTGGAAAACTGAGTCATAACTTTTGAGACAACCCCACTTTTCCAAATGCCACTATATAAACTCAGAGTGAACAGAAACTATCACAATGCTGATTACATAAGGAAGTGACTTTTTGTGCGCTTGCAAGGAAAACACTGGCTCACTGTGATCTGAACTGTGAATCACTGATAAACATTTTCTCTGGTAAGAACAAGAATAAAAAGGGGCAATATTTGGCGAAGGTGACCAGTGCTGAATTTAGTCAGCACAGGGACAAAATGCTTGCGAAAGCCAGGAAGGACACTAGAGATGTCCCAGTATACCAGTTTTATTGTATACCACAGTACAACATTGTGGCATAAACAACACCAACAATTTCTTATACCATTTTTCAGGGGAAATGTTTACACAGCACATTGCTCCTGCCATTATCCGGAGCAGAGCACCTTTTTACCATTCAAACAAACACACGACAGTCGCTGCAGGGCCAGAGAACCAGGGTCCTTGTCTGTCTACATCTAGCTGCTCCGGCCATGATTTACAATGCTTATACCAGCTTGTCAACCTGCTGAGGTGCGGCCAGTTTATCTGTGCTGAGCTGTAACCTTTACTGAGAGAGAGCATGCATTTTACATGAGTGATAAAGAGGAAACTCCCTGCATCTAGATCACACACACACACACACACACACACACACACACACACACACACACACAATGTTACACCTTACAGGCCAGCTTTAACTCTGCCCTTGATATTTGTTGGTAGTAATGCTGAGATTGTGTGCAGACGGGAGAGCGGCGCTAAAGCCTTATCAAAGCTCGACAAATGACATATTTAGTTGATTTGATTTGAGGTGAAAAGAAGTGAATACAACTACTGCAACAAACAGACAATAAAAATAGACTTTCTTCAAATGTTAATGCCGTGTTACTTTTATCGAAAAAAAAAAAAAGAGCAGTTACAGACCAAAATACTGAAAATAAAGTGAGTGCAGGTGTTTCACAGTGTGCAGGATTTTTTGATTAACAGTAAATAAAACCCAAAAGAATCAGAGTAATAAAATCTCAGAGGATATAAAAAGACATCTGAAGTAATTTCCAGTTTTTAACCAGCTGCATTCGGGTCGAACAAAGCTTCAATTTCAGTTATCAAAATAAAAATTTGATACTGGCACGTCCCTGTGAACTGTGGAAATACACACACACATACACACACACACACACACACACACACACCTTTATCATTTGTTCACTGCAGCACCACACCCACTTCAGTCTAAAGGTAAGCATTCCCATTTTTAGACCTTAATGACACACCTGCTGACACACACACACACACACACACACACACAACCACCTTTTATCATGTGACACAGTGTGTGTGGCTGTTATGCTTTAACTAGTAAGTGTTTGATTAACGTAGACTAATGACACAATCATGATGCGCACACACTCCACCGGCTACACCACACTGTCACTTTGCACGTTGCTCCACACATGGCATCAGATATCTGGAGAGAATACAGATTGTGTGCGAAAGAGAGAGAGCGAGAGGGAGAGAGAGAGAGAGAGGGAGAGCGAGAGAGAGAGAGAGAGAGAGAGAGAAAAGGACAATGATTTGAAAAGACGTGGGACAATATGGACAGAGATGAGTTCTGACAGCTGAACTTCATCTCATACTGAAGACGCTGCTTCCTGTTTTCATGATTTTGTTTTGGACCATTTTCACTCACTAAGCTCTGTTCCTGTCTGACTCAACCTGGGTCCAAACACTTGAGCTGACGGTCTTTTCAAGTGATTCAGAAGTTTGCTGCTCAGTGCTGGAGAAACAAAAGAGCCAATCAGAGCCTCTGTGGGTGCGACTCAAGTCGATGGTGATGTTGGCCTCCTTACAGTCACGCAGATCAGGACACTTCTGATAAAGCTGCAGTCAACAGGTCCGTCACCAATAGTCGTAACGTAATATATTACATAAAACCATGACAAAAATACAGTGTTCACCAGGTCTCATCAACAGCTGAGCACTTTTTCTGGCTGAAAAACACGAGCCATGTCTCAAAATGAGAGACGCCGAGTCAGACAGAGCAGGTACAACTGAGTGATGATTGGACTGTGATCACAACTGGTGTTCACCGAGCGCAATGACAAAAAAAAAAAAAAGTGTAATCTTATCTCATCTGATCTAATCTAAACTACTACAGTACAACAAACAGAAGAATGAAAAACATCCCAGACTGAATGGGTCAACACACGTCAGCCGACCCTTTGCTAAATG